TCCTTCGGACACAGCGGATCACCGATCACGGAAAGAGCCGAAGATGTCGGCTCGGTCATGTGACCAGCTGTGTCCAATCACAGCTGATCACATGTAAACAGGGAAATGCCGGTTATCAGCATTTTCTCTCCTCTCGAGCTGTCACGCTGACAGAGGAGAGGAGAGCCGGTAATCTGCTTTCCGCGGAGGGGACATGTACACTGATCATCAGGGCACTGATGATCAGTGTGCCCTGATGATCAATGTAGCCCCAGCAGTGCCACCTGTCAGTGTCCGCCAGTGCCCATATCAGTGCACATATCAGTGCACTATCAGTGCACATCAATGCCACATATCAGTGTCCCATCTGAGCTGCCTGTCAGTGCCACCTATCAATGCCAATCAGTGCCTGTCAGTGCCGCCTAACAGCGCCAGTCAGTGCCGCCTATCAGTGCTGCCTATCAGTGCCATATATGAGTGCTGCCTTTCAGCGCCCATCAGTGATGCCTGTCAATGCTCATCAGTGCCACCTACCAGTGCCTCCTCATCAGTGCCATCAGTGCCACCTATCAGTGCCCATCAGTGCAGCCTATCAGTGCCCATCAGTGCAGCCTCATTAGCACACATCAGTGAAGGAGAAAAATAACTTATTTACAAAATTTTATAACAAAAACTAAGAAAAAACTTTTTTTTTTCAAAATTTTCAGTGGTTTTTGGTTTGTTTAAGAAAAAAAAAAAAAACCCCGAGGTGATTAACCATTAGCCGCCCGGCCAATGGCCGTTTGGCGGCTTCAAAAGTGTCTCTGCACTCCGGGTGCACACAATTTGGCGTGCTCCCTCACATGCGCAGTTTGCGCTAATGCAGAGCGACGCAGCAGTGCGATCTGTCACCGGCCGTGCACCTCGGACACGGCCGATGACAGATCCGAGTACCGGCTCCCGTTGCTGGTACCATGTGACCTGCTGTGACCAATCACAGCAGGTCACATGACAATTGTATACAATGGATGGCTTCATTCATGATGCCATCCATTGTATACTAGTGTCTAGCTGTGAATGGTCACAGCTAATCACATGCACATGTCATGTGATTAACTGTGACCACATCACAGCTAAGCACAAAAAAAAAAAAAAAAAAAAAAAAAAAAAGCTGAATGAATCGATGTCATTCAGGTAAATGCTTGCTTATAGCAAAGTAATTCTTTGCTATAAGCAAATTGTGTAAAAAAAAAAAAAAAAAAAAATACTGATCACTTCCCCAAAGTAGTACAATGTTACTATGGTAACATTGTACTACTTTGGTCATAGTAAAATATGAAAAAATCTTAAAAAAAATAAAAAAAATAATAAAAAATTAAATATAATAAAAAAAAAAAAAAAATATATATATATTTTTTTTTCATACTGTCACCAGTCAGTGTCCCTGTTCACCGCCATGCCAGTTATATGATGACGCTGTACTGCACTGGTGACAGTATGTAAAAAAAAAAATAGTGAAAATAATTTTTTTAATTTTTTCATTTTCCGAAAAATTATGACAAAAAAAATACAACTTCAAAAAACTCGCCATGCCTCTTATGAATTATGTCGGACTGTCTACTCTGCAAAAAGGGGTCATTTGGGGGATATCTGTACTGTTCTGACATTCTTGGACCTCAAGAAATTAGATTGGCTGTCAGTACTTCAGGATTGATCAATATTCAGATCTATACCATAGTTTGTGAACTCTATAACTTTCCTACAAACTACAAAATACATCCTAATTTGGGTTATTTTCACCAAAGACATGTAGCAGAATACATCTCGGCCTAAATTTATGAAGAACAATTATTTATTTGTAAACTTTTATAATAGAAACAAAGAAAAATGGGTTTTTTTTTTCAAAATTTTTGGTCTTTTTTTGTTAATTTAGCAAAAAATAAAAACCCCAGCGGTGATTAAATACCACCAAAAGAAAGCTCTAGTTGTGTGAAGAAAATGATAAAATTTTAGTTTGGGTACAGTGTTGTATGACCGCGCAATTGTCATTCAAACTGTGAGAGCGCTGAAACCTGAAAAATGGCCTGGGCAGGAAGGGGTAAAATTGCACGGTATTGAAACGGTTAAATACCACCAAAAAAAAGCTCTATTTGTCACAGAACAAAATGATAAAAATTTCATACGGGTACAGTGTTGCATGACTGTGCAATTGTCATTCAAAGTGCAACAGCGCTGAAAGCTGGAAATTGGCCTGGGCAGGAAGGGGGGTAGAAGTGCCCTGTAGGCAGGAAGGGGGTAGAAGTGCCCTGTAGGCAGGAAGGGGGTAGAAGTGCCCTGTAGGCAGGAAGGGGGTAGAAGTGCCCTGTAGGCAGGAAGGGGGTAGAAGTGCCCTGTAGGCAGGAAGGGGGTAGAAGTGCCCTGTAGGCAGGAAGGGGGTAGAGGTGCCCTGTAGGCAGGAAGGGGGTAGAGGTGCCCTGTAGGCAGGAAGGGGGTAGAGGTGCCTTGTAGGCAGGAAGGGGGTAGAAGTGCCCTGTAGGCAGGAAGGGAGTAGAAGTGCCCTGTAGGGTAGGGGTTAATAACACAACATTACCACCTGGAGGTTTCTTGAATTTCGATTCTATACTTGTATATATGGAGAGGCGGCACCAGCTACTTCTTGAGATGACAGCAGACACTTAAATTGCCCTGTAACAAAGTGCTGGGGCGATTACATGAAGGAAAAATGAAGGCTTTGTTAAAGCAGAATCCCCCCCCCTAACCTTTGTAGTTAAGAAAGCTGTCATTTTACAGGCGGTTGCCGTGGTCCTGCTCCTGTGTCCAGCTATGGCATGAAAATTCATTTGAGAGCTCTCATAGGCACACTGGTGACAGTTATCAGCATAGGTATGATTTGAATGTTACTGGCTGAACCTGCTCATTTGCATATCTTTGCAAAGGATTCTGGGAAATGGGTGTTGCCACCTCAGGGTTGATCAAATCTGAATTCTTTGTGTTTTTAGATGGTTTATAGAGCCAGAAAGATTTGGATGTGAACATACAAGCCAAAAGAAAGATTTTAATGTTAAATTCAAATTTGACTCTCCATAGGTTTGATATTTTGGTAGTTGATTAGGTATTGATTGGTTTGTGTGAAAGTTTTACAAACTATGGGGTATACTGTATACTGGAATTTATGCAGCTTTTAAGCAACTCTCACATTTCTTGAGGCACTAAAATGCCAGGAAAGTGCCAACACCCCTCCCCCAAATCACCCCTTTTTGGAAAGTAGCCACCCCAAGGTATTTGATAGGAGGCATGGTGAGTGTTTTGCAGATCTCAGTTTTTGTCACAAGGTATTAAAAAATGAAGAAAGAAAATAAAAATAAAAAATAAATTTTCATTTTCTTTCTTCCTTTTCCAAATGCTTGTGGCAACAAATGAGATCTGCAAAATACTCGCCTTGCTACTTATCAAATATCTTGGGGTGGCTACTTTCCAAAAAGGGGTCATTTGGGGGCTATTTATACTGCCCTGACATTTTAGGGACTCCAAAAATGTGATACGTAGTCAGGTAAACCAATGCATAATTAACGCCCCTTGAAAGCCTGAAGGGGCTCATTGGATTTTGGGGGCCTGTACATGGCTAGGATGCCATGTAGTATCCCCAGGGGTGGACTGACCATTTGAGAACTCGGGCAGTTGGTGGACCCATGAGATGCCCCTGGTACCTTTCATAGGCTTTTTTGGGTGTGATTTGAGTGTGGGTGAGGACACGGGGACCCCATGAGTTGTCAGTCCACCCCTGAGTATCCCCATACTTGGGAGAGGGAACAGAATGTGTTTTGGGGTGTAGTTCCACATACACCTATGGCATGTGTGAGAAATATCTCATTAAAGTGACAACTTTGTCTAAAAACAAAATATTTTTCTGCCATTTTCCAAAAACTTGTGGTAAAAATTAAAATCTTCCATGGACGCGCTATGCCTCTCAGCAAATACCGTGGAGTGTCTGCTTTCCAAAAATGGGTAATTTTGGAGGGGGGGGGGGGGGGGGGGGGTTCTACTATCCTGGCACTTTAGGGCCTCTAAAAACATTACATGTATGGCCAGCATTTGGAATTTCTGCCACACTCCTAATTTTGGGAATACAGGCAATGTTCTTTTTTTTGTTCAGCCTTTTTGGTTGAATGAAGAAAAAAAGAACCAAACAGATTCCTCCATTCACATAAATCAATGTGGATGAAGAAATCTGTGCCAGAAAAAGTGTATGCCCACCATTAGAAGCTTCTGTCACACATCCACCACTTTGTTTCTAATGTTAGGCATACATGTAATGTCCTTTTTTTGTTCAGCCTGTGAGTAGGTGGTGGGTAGTGGGTGCCCTGAGAGCCACCTCATTTCTTGGCTGGAAGATGTCCAGTATTTGGCCCTTTCCTCTCCAAGCTGACTGTCCCTGGCTCGCCCCTTTCATTTATTGGATTTCAGTTATTTCAATTATGAAGACTCACCATGTGGGTGTTATCTAGGGTGTTCTATCTACAATGCAAATGTAGCCTGCCTAGGAACTCCCCCAGACTGATTCCACCTGTTATTTTTTTACATTTGCATTACTCCTCCCAAGAGCCAGCCCACTCCTTGCGGGGTGCTGTGCAGTTTTCAGGAATCTCTGTACAGAACCTTGCTTGCTCCTTTCCACCCAACATGATCTGCCTGCATTTCATAGAGAAGCACAGAGACCCAGTGATGATGTCAATGGAAAATAAGGTATGTAGTGAAAATATATATATATATATTTTTATATATCATTAGCATGTTGTTGAGAAGGTGAGGGGTGACCAAAGAAGGCAAAATTTAGTCAGATTAAACTGCACCTAAAGTGCATCCCCCCCGACACGCCTGTCCTATGTTTTATTTATTTATATACATACATACATACACACATTCCTGGTATGTCTTCCTCATTCTACTTCCTGTCATCTCTCCCATACAGGATGTCCGTTCCGACACCGAAGGCTCACGACCGTAGTTGGAAAGCAGAGGATGAGGAGGACCCGGTGGATCAGATGATCGCTCGGACTGGCTGTACGGCCTTCCATTACGCTGTACAGGAGTGCATGGCGGAGCACCAGGACTGGAGGAAGTGTCAGGTGCCGGTCCAGAACTTTAAAAACTGCATGCAGGACTATCAGAAAAAAAGGGCTGAGGAGCTGCTAAAGAAAAGGAGTCAGCTGTAAGGACAGGCATCCTAATCCGGGACAATCCTGCCAAAGGAGAGACACTGAAACTGGATTCATGAGAAAATCCAGCCAACAGCAGAATGAACACCAGACTGTGGAGGCGCGCTTAAAGAGACCCTGTCACCGGAGCATTTATTTCTAATACAATCTCCCCTGAAGATGATATGTGCATTTAATGTAGTGTATTCATGATTTTTTCCTCCTTCGTATAGACATCGACAAGCCCTGAGACTGCTGCTCAAGCTTGGATGTGAGGTCAGCAGCCTGAACAGACTCAGAACTGTCCCTCTTGCAGGGGTGTCAAACTGGCGGCCCTCCAGCTGTTGTGAAACTACAAGTCCCATCATGCCTTTACCTTTGGGAGTCATGCTTGTAACTGTCAATCTTGCAATGCGTCATGGGGCTTGCAGTTTGGCAACAGCTGGAGGGCCGCAAGTTTGACACCCGTGCTCTATAGTATTCCCTTTCACTCCTTCCCTAGCTGCTACATGAAAGTTTCCATCAGAAGGAGGGGTGGAGCAGCTGGGCCAGCACAGACAGTTGTTTGACACTCCCAGAATTGAAGAAGACTATGATGTGCAAGGAAGAAGGGAGCTGTTCTAGGGAAATGACTCTTCTGAAGCAGTTAGTTTTGCTAGCAAGTTCAAAGGCACATCACAAGTCAAAAAGAAATAATGTATGTTGAGAAAGCCTTTCTAGTAATTGATTTGTCTGCGCTTTTATCTGCGTTTTGTAAATTATTGACAGGGTCTCTTTAACCTCCCTGGCGGTATGATTATTTCAGATTTTTGGCGCTGAAAGCGGTACCATTATTTTGCATGGAAATATGTTGTTTTTTTTATTGTAGGCCTGTAATTTTTAGGAATAACTCACTGAAATCTGTCTGAACAAGAGTCTAGTAAACATCCCGGGGATGATAAAATTTGAAACACGAAATCATAAATTATAATTTAATAAATAATCATAAAAAATAATATAATATTAATAAATTTAATTCAATAATATAATCAAACCAAAAAACACTGAAATGTGAAATATAGCGCCAAGTTCGCACATCGCTGAGCAAAGTCGCAGAATCGTTTTCAGTGTCTGATGACGAATTTCCCCCATGAATGATTATCACTCAATTCTGCAAGTGGTTCTGATTTACTATCGCTGTTCTCTAGCCGGTCTAAAACCGATTTTGACCTAAAGGGACGCTTTTTGGATGCCGTGGACTTTTCTCAGTTTCCAGGCAGAAAGAACAGACAAAATGCAGGCAGGACACAGGACAAAGCACTCGGGACAAAATGTATGTGAAATGGGTTGAAACAGGAATGTTTTACTATGTAAAATTTGTTTGGAAAAAAATGACATTTTTTCAAATTTCCCGCCGCCGGCGCCCGTACGTCCCGACGTCACAGGGACCGGAACACAGAAGCCGGATGCCGGCATCGGCCGGAGGAGATGGCCGGGGACGCTGCAGGGGACACATCGCGGGAGCGAAGGACAAGGTAAGTGAAGAAGAGATCCCAGAGCAATGCTGCCGTGTATTCCCGAGTGTAGCTCGGGGTTACCGCTTTTGGCACTGACATTTTACCCCGAGCTACACTCGGGAATACCGCCAGGGTGGTTAAAGAGAATCCATCACTTTGTCTATTCAAGGCAAAGTGATAGGTTCTCTTAATAGGTCACATCTACTGATACTCACTGCCCTGTACTCCTGCTGAATGGACAAAGTGATTGGTTCCCTGTAAATTCTCCAACCTGCAAACTACACACAGGTCTCTCCCCTGTCAGTGTTATGTGGCGATCCTCCGGTGCCGGCGGGGAATCTCCGGCCGGGACTGACCCAGTGATTGCAGCCCCTACCTGGAAATGCAAATCACGTGTGTGTGAGATATTATATATATATATATATATATATATATAGACTTTGCGCAGCCCTGCTGCCTTGTAGCAGTATTTCCGATACAGGGTGGAGGACAGCTGGTTAAAGAAGTGAAAGGGAGCGAAGGTCTGCTTTAATTCAGGGCTTCACAAATTTGCAGTTTGTTAGTTAAAAAAAAAAAAAAAAAAGAGCCACAAATCACTTATATTTCAATGTTTTTTATTAATTTTAAACAGTATAAAACAGAGGCAACAAAGCACGCCCACACAGGGGCTATCAATGGCACATATAAAAAAAAAAATTTGAAAAAACAGTGCTCTAACACCAACAGACCAAAAGGTATGCCCACACAGGGGCTATCAATGGCACATAAATGACAAGAACATTAATATAGCTCTGACTGTAACTCAAGCTAAAATCAGCTATCCACTGCTACACCAAAATCAAACAGAAAAAAAAGAAAGAAGGAGTACAAAGAGAGAAAGAGGAAAAAAAAAAAAATAACAAAACCAAGGAGCAGGGGTCCAAGAACGCCAATACCGAACACCATCCCATCCCCAGACTAGCCGGGGGGAGTGTGGGAAAGGCATATTGCAACCACGGCTCCCATATTTTCAAAAATTTACGTTGGGAGTCATTGCAGATACTCGACACGAATCACTTCTAATTGCCCACCTCATGGGACCGGCAGGGTAAGCAGAAGTCATTTATAGCTTTTATTTCATTCTGCCATTTTATACTCTTAAAAAAAAAAGGTTTTTTGGTTTTTTTTTTTTTAAGAGTATAAAATGGCAGAATGAAATAAAAGCTATAAATGACTTCTGCTTACCCTGCCGGTCCCATGAGGTGGGCACTTAGAAGTGATTTGTGGCTTTTTTTTTTTTTTCATTTAATTTATTTAAAAATCCGACAGCTGTCTCAGTTATGTTAATGCTACTAAATGAGACAACTTTCTCACTAGGTAACTAAAAGGGATGACGTGATATTACAATTATGTGTGTCAGCTGTTCTCCCTCCCCTCTACCCTTTGGCACCCACTATGTCGGGCCCGCAGACGGGCAAGCAGAGCCCGGGATACATAGCAGGGTGGGGGCAGGTGCACTATGCCCGCGTGTGGAAGCAATTCAGTGGCAGTGGAGCTGCCCGAATGCTTCCACCTGACTAGGGTGTGCATCCCTGCAAACAGTGAATGGGCTGATAAAACCCCAGGCACCAGGATGCAACTTCTAGTCGCCTGGGATTTGTTGAGCCCTGCTTTAAAGTATGACTTTTGTTTTCCTAGGTTCGGATAATGAAGAAAGGAGTCAGAACCTCTGTCATATTTTTTTTTTTTTTTTTTTTTTTTTTTTTTTTGGCGCCTTTGGAAATATTTCCTTTTGCCTCCTATTCAGAGGACATATTACTTCCTGGCTTGGTGACTGCGTTGTCACCAGAACAGGAAGTGAGTAGAAAACTCCCCAGTGGGCCATACAGCAGTAAAACCTAAGAGTTTTTAACCCTTCACCAGTCTCTGCGCTTTTGGTTACCCATATTTCATCATTTCTTTCTGCTGGTTGTTTTTATGCTCCTTATAAAATTGTCTGCTGCTCCCAATACTGATGGTTGAGATAAACGTTCTATTAAAAATAAGATTTAAAGAACAAATTAAAAAAAAGAGGATATAACCATATATTTGGTAACATATTATTTGACCACTTACAAATATATAGATCTCTATCTCCCTTGTCTCCTCCTCCCATGCTCATCTCCAGGACTTCTCCAGAGCCTCCCCCATCCTCTGGAACGCTCTACCCCAATCTATCAGACTATCGCCTACTCTGCCCACTTTTAGCCGATCTCTGAAAACCTGTTTCTTCAGGGAAGCCTATCCTGCCCTCAGCTAATAACGGAATCTTCTATTCCTCCCATCAGTCCATCCCCCACAGTTATCTTTTGTACCACTAGCCCCTCCCTCTTAGATTGTACTCTCCAGAGAGTCTCAATTCCCAGTCTCAAGTCTTTTGCAGACTCTTAACAGGTTTTCTTGTAAGATTGCCCTGTATTTGGCTTCATCCTTCTTCCCATCCACTCTGACCAGCTTCCCTGTCCCTGCTGAAGAAAGAAAAGCATCCTCACCACATGATGCTGCTACCACCATGTTTCACGGTGGGGATGGTGTGTTCAGGGCGATATTCAGTGTTAGTTTTCCAAAACACAAAGCGTTTTGCTTTTAGGCCATAAAGTTCAATTTTGTTCTCTCTGACCAGAGCCCCTTCTTCCACATTTGCTGTGGCCCCCACATGGCTTCTCTCAAACTGCAAATGGGGCTTCTTATGGCTTTCTTCTTGCCACTCTTCCATGAAGGACAGATTTGTGGAGTGCACGACTAATAGTTATCCTGTGGACAGATCCTTCCACCTGAGCTGTGGATCTCTGTAGCTCCTCTTTCCATTTATGGATGATGATTGAACAGTGCTCCGTGAGATGTTCAACGCTTGGGATATTTTTTTTTTATAACCTAACCCTGCTTTAACCATTTGCCGCCCGCCCTATGGCCGAATGGCGGGCGGCAAGTGTCATCAACGTTCCGGGTGGACGCCATATGGCGTCCTCCCGCACATGCACAGATTGCACTCCTGCAGAGCGCCGCAGTGGCGCGATCTGTCACCGGCCCTGTACCTCGGACACGGCCGATGACAGATCTGAATATCGGCCCCTTTGCTGGTACCATGTGACCTGCTCTGACCAATCACAGCAGGTCACATGACAGTTGTATACAATGGATGGCTTCATTCATGACATCCATTGTATACTAGTGTCTAGCTGTGAATGGTCACAGCTAATCACATGCATATGTCATGTGATTAGCTGTGGCCAAATCACAGCTAAGCACAAAAAGAAAAAAAAAACCTGAATGAATCAATGTCATTCAGGTAAATGCTTGCTTATAGCAAAGTAATTCTTTGCTATAAGCAAATTGTGTAAAAAAAAAAAAAAAAAAAAAATACTGATCACTTCCCCAAAGTAGTACTATGGTAACATTGTACTACTCTGGTCATAGTGAAATATGAAAAAAAAATCTTAAAAAAAAGAAAAAAAATTTAATAAAAAAAAAAAAATATATATATTTTTTTTCATACTGTCACCA